TGCATTAGTTGCTATTGTGTTACTGTGACATAACTTGTACATATTTTACTAGTTACTTTTTCCAAACCATGATTCCTGACTAAATGTATAATCAAGTGAAACATTATGAAGATTCATTCACTGCATATATGTCTCACAACGCCAGGAAGTTTTTTTATGTTCTATAAAATAGACAGCAACGGTAATATGAGTTATAATGTAATTAAAAAAGTAATATGAGTTATAATGTTAGAGTAAGAATGTTTAGACTAAACTTTACTATAGGCTCTGCTCGCGAAGATCTTTATAGCGTGCTTAACAATCATAATAAATTTTTAGCTTCTGTTCGGGAATATCTGCTCTATTGTAAATGTTTTTCATGTTTTATAATCGGTCATTGGCGTTCGCGATCGTCTGAGGTATAAATGTATCAAGTAAGCTGTAAATAAGTGATCCATCGACAGACATATACGCACGTCCTTTCTTATCAGTGATGCAATTTATTTATCAGCTATGCATCTTCTGGTAATTACTAACAACTATTTTAATTTTCGTTTAGGACTGTGGCTGCATCACTCGCATAATTGCACAAGAAAGGCACACGTGTCGTTCAGTTTTGAGTTCGCTGGAAAATCATACTGAGTAAGTGCACAGTATAGTAATTGTACTTTTATTATGCCTAGACTATATGGTAATATTATTTGTGGTTGATAGTGTTAAAATGTAGTTTCTTTGTTATTGGCATTCTGTTTTCTCATGAAGTATGCATACTATACTAAGGTACTGTGGGGAAAAAAATGCTAACAATTGTTTATAAAATTCTTTTAGGACTGAATACACCACTCTTGCCTTCACCTGCATCTCTCACAGTAAGGGGACGCTCGTTCAGTTTTCAACTCCATTCAGAATCTTAGAGTAAGTGTGCATTCACTATTTTACAGATGTTACTTTCATTTGATTTATTTGCTGTATGGTAAACTATGTTTGCTATGTGGTAATTGTGTTCTTTGTTTCGATAAATTAGTACTAGTATCAGTGAACATCATAATAATGTTAACAATGTAGTTTGTGTAAACAGCATGCTTACTTTTTTTTCAGATGTGAGAATAACAGTGTAAAAAAACCTGTTGCAAAGAGAGCCAAAGCAAAGCAGTCCACTTGGTCATGGAAACCAGAGACTGACGTTGACAGGCTCTGAGATTCCTGCCTGCACAGGAACCTGGACCACAGCTAAGAACATGTGAAGCACACACTCCCATGAGTTATTTTATGTGATAGTTATATGTATTCTAAATAAACTACAAACAAAAATTGGAGTGCTCTGGGTCCGGGCTAAAAGCCGAGCTCGGACCCCTCTCCCCGGACAGGGGGAGTACCCCGGGCTCAAGAGTATTTACCGAGCTCGGAGCCCTCTCCCCGGACAGCACGCCAAATACGCATAACCTTTACTCTGTTCATTATATGTAAGTGTGAGCTCGTGAAATACTGTTTTGTGGCTCTTTAATGTGTCATGACAGATCGCTGTATTGCCTCAGTTCAAGCGGCACGTGAACCGATCATCTTTTCATATTTCCTTAAAGCACGAAAAAAACATGAATGAACATCAGAACATATTTTATTTCAACCATGGAAAGACGTCAATACACACAATTTTTCAAGTTTAAGTCCACCAAAGTTAACCTACTTTCTTGTCTGATTTGTTTGTCAGACAAAATGCGTTATGATTGGTCAGATCACCTATCAATCAAGCTCTTTGCGAAGGGAGAACGTCGGATGGCGTCGCGTGGGAACGTAATAACGTGCCATTAATCAATCTATGTACTATAACATGTAAAACGGGAAAATGAAAGGAATATTCTAAAAGCAACTCATGTAAACACCTTAATCATAATATTGTCTTATTCAAAATTAGGTAAAAAATTAGATTACTGATGTCCATGTAAACATACTCAATGTGTTCACGTTTTTTACTGTGTCTTTAGTAAATCCTGACAGTAGTTTTTTAATGCCAGAAGAGTGTTTGCACTGGTGCAAGTTGTTAGTAAATCTGACCCTAAGCTTGTTATTTAGAATAATATTTTTCACTTAGTAATTGGTTCATTTTAAAGATGCTATATGTATTATTATGTATACCCCAGCAGAGTCGGAGCGGACCTCCTGTCGGACAACATCTCCAGGACGCTACGCACCATATGACTGACTAGTAAGTCAAATCTCAAATAACTGCCCTGATGACTTTTGTTCTACCCGCTTAAATGATAGAAGTACTTGCGCTGTACAATCTATAAAGACTGTGTCTGTTCCTCGAATAGTGAGGTCAAAATATAAATTTAATGCAGGATCTAGAAAAAATCTGATCGTGATTAAACCAGAAAAATTTTAAATAAATGAACAAAAACTATTTTTAAAGTTTGTGCTCCTAAACATTAGATCACTCGCACCCAAAGCAGTTATTGTAAATGAAATGGCTGTTGCCCCCATCAAATTGAAAAAGGGTAGAGAAAAACGTACTGCACAATGGTACAACAGTAATACCCATTCTCTCAAGAAAGAAACCAACAACATGCCTGTTAGATCCTGTACCCACTAAATTACTGAAAGAGTTGTTACCTGTAGTAGAAGAACCGCTTCTCAATATTATTAACTCGTCGTTGTCTTTAGGTCACGTCCCAAAACCATTCAAACTGGCGGTTATTAAGCCTCTTATTAAGAAACCACAACTAGATCCTAGTGAACTGGCAAATTACAGACCCAT